CATCGGCAGTTGCGCTACTAACTCCCGGAAGTGTCAGTGTGCAAAAGGGACAGCCCGGTGAAAGCGCATTGCGCGTTTGTCCCATCTTTTGTTCGATTTTCCAAGGAGCGCTGTGAAATCCAGCAGCATGCGCCAAGGCGACACGACGGGCAACCAAAGACCAAAAAAACACGTTCTGGAGATTCAAAATCAAAAGACTCTTAGTGACACGCAAACACCTGCGCATCACCACATGCCTTGAACAAGGAAACGCCTGTGCAAAATGCCCGCAAACAAGTTGCAAGAAACCACAAAAATCGCAAAACGCCACAACTTCCTTGAGAACCAGAACGCCTAATTAGGAATCCCTTGGCATTGAATCTTCACGATACCATTTTGGATATTAAGTGTGTGTCAAAGGGACACGTCATTCATGCAAGGCAACGCGCGACACTTGGGGCCCGGAAGCATGCTTTCCATCCATCACGGGCGCCGGAATGCGCTGCATCTGGCTTTCGAGCGTCGGCTGTTAAGCGTGTCCTTTGCCGCTGTGTGCAATCCAACGGGCAGTTTGCAATTTGACGCTGGGTTTTTTGACATGGTTGAACACTGTTTGGATGCCTTTTCGGTGAATCACTCTGTCCGGTCTCACTGAATCTGTTTCATTGAAAACATGAGCTCGTTGTGTGTTCAGCGTGTAACAGCAAAATAATTTTCTGGGCCTGCGGCCTCTAGCCGGCTACGCCTCTTTGAAGTTATACCATGTCATGTCATGTTTTTGTATGAGGAACGTGGTTAGGTTCTGCGTGGCGTTTTGTGGCTGGGGTCGCGCGCGCGCCCGAAAACAAACGGGGAACAACAAGGACCGCGCAGCACGCGCGCCAGCCACAGCAAAAGCAAAACGGACAGAACAACTGCACAGCGGTTTTTGACGGTATTTTCAGCGTTTTGTAGAGCGAGGACCCAGCATCGAGCATCGCCGGCATGCCTGGCAGCGCCTCGCTTATATCCCTCCGACACCTTCTAAAAAACAGTGCTTCATGGGTTGGGAGGCTTTTTGGAAGGAAGTCTTGATGATGCAGACCAAGCCCCGCTGAAGCATCACCCAGGCCCAGACCCTGACGATGTCAAGCACATGGCCTAACCCCTGCACACACGCGATGTTTTGCGAGGGTTTCCCACAGGCAAGCAAAACTGCAAGCCCGAGCTGGTGATGCAGAGGTGCCAGATTTACGCAGCGCATCACGACCAAGTGGTGAGGGGCGGCGCCAGGGTGCAGCCCCTATAGCTAAAGCTGGCAGGCTAATTGCCTAGCGGCGACATGCTAGTTGAGGAGGCGTAGCCGGATTTAAGGGCTGCCGCCGGCCCCTGCTTGCTGACAGGGGGCGTTGTTATGACAATTATGACTACGTATTTTTTGCCGGGTTCAACGGCACACTTACAGCATATATGAATCAGAAGAGCCGCGCGAGAACAATTATGTTTTTGATGATGCAATGTTTTACCCAACATTAGGGATGCTGATAATTATTGCCATGCATTCGCATTATCGCGAGCAGTTCTGATGATAATTGTTACTTTGCATTTTTAGCATCACCAGCAGTTGTTCTGATACTTATGACAACGCATTCCCTGCATCTCAAACAAGCCACTGCGGGATAAATTCGCATGAGAATAAGCACCTTGTTGAATCTTACAAGAAGTGCCCAGGGTGTGTGGAAACTCGGGCAGGAACACCATGTTGGGGGCCTTTTTTTCTTCTCCAGTGTTGCTGTGGATGCGAAGTGTGGACTTTGTGCCGTCGCTGCGTCTTCGCGGGCAGTAAGCCGTCAAGAACACCTCGGAATGCAATCAGATGGTGATGGTGATGATGGTCACGATGATGATGAATTATGCGCCGCCTGCATCACCAGAAGTTATTATGACAATCATGACTACGCATCCCCTGCGTCTCAACGGCACACTTGCAAAAGAAGAGCGCCACGGTTTTGATGATGAACATGTTCATCATCATCTTCATCATCATCGGCATTTCCAGTCGGGTCTAACGGCGCACTTGAAACGTATATGAGAAGAAGAAGAGCGCCACGGTTTCGATGATGAATATGATGATGCAAATGATGATGATGATGAGCACGATGCCGATGATGAACATGATGATGATGAGCACGATGCTGATGATGAACATGATGATGATGAAGGTGAAAATGATGATGATGAACATGATGAAGATGATGATGATGATGATGATGATGAACACCACCATCATCACTTTCATCATCACCAGCAGCAGTTATCATGACAATCATGACAACGCATCCTCTGCATTTCCAGTCGGGGCTAACGGCACACTTGAAACGTATATGAAAAAAGAGCGCCAAGGTTTTGACGCTTCATCATCATCATCGTCATTTTCATCATCATGTTCATCATCATTGTCATCATCATCCTGATGATCATCATCACTACGCATCCTCGGCATCAGCAGCAGTTAACGTCATCTCTATGCATCCCCAGCATCAGCAGCAGTTATCATGACAACCATGGCAACGCATCTTGTGCGTTTCCAGTCGGATGATGAAGAGGATGATGATGATGATGATGATGATGATGAAAATGATGATGATGAACATGATGATGATGATGATGGTGAACACCACCATCACCATTTTCATCATCATGTTCATCATCATTATCATTTTCATCATGTTCATCATGTTTTTCATGCTGATCGTCATACCACTACGCATCCTCGGCATCATCAGCAGTTAACGTCGTCACTGTTCATCCCCAGCATGAGCAGCAGTTATCATGACAATCATGACAACGCATCCTCTGGATTTCCAGTCGAGTCGAACGGCGCAATTGAAACGTATATGGAAAAGAAGAGCGCCACGGTCTTGATGGTGAACATGATGAGGAACATGGCGATGCAAAGGAGAATGATATGATGCGATGATGATGATGATGAACATGATGATGATCAAGATGATGATGATGAACATGATGATGAAAATGATGGTGATGAACACCATCATCTTTCATCGTCATGATCATGATCATCATCATCATATTCATCATCATCATTTTCATCAGCGTGTTAGAGCGCCACGGATGATGATCCGGATGCTGTAGCCTAACATCAGTGGCGACGATAATCATCACTAAGACAAGGACAAAGACAAACCCTTCCCACGCGCCTCCCCTTTGGAGAAAGGGGTCGGCGGATCAAGTACTTGGAAACACGACTAGGTTTTGAGCCCTCAAGGGTTGAAGCGTATGCGTGCTGAATGGTATGCCCCAACGTGATGCCGCGGTTTAGTTGTATGTTGGAGAACATGAAACAGCACTCATTCACGAGTTTGATTTGAACCGCATATATCGCATGTGTTGCGCGTTGTCCCTTTGACGCATTGGCCATGTAAATCATGTTCAAGTGTTTTTGTTGGTCGAGTTCGGAGACGTATTTTTCCTTTACTGGTAAAAAGTACTGACGTGAGAAGCAATTGAGCTTATCACGCCATGGCTCATTCATGAGAGACGCGCGTACTTTGATAGGTCAGGGCCAGAGAACACATTCCAGAACACATGCAGCTCATGGAAAAGGTTGCCATTTATGGCTGATGCAGCGACCACCCGTGCAGCCTTGGAATTCGTGTGCAAGGCCTTAGATGTGAACGCTGAAATCCTGCGAGTTGCGAAGCACGGGGGTGCAGGCAGCTCAGGCGCTTTGCCTGCGTTGCGGGCCGCCTTATTGACTCTCTGCGTGTGTGAAGGGGAGTCGGAGATGGCGACCGTGCTGGCTGGCCTGGGTTACCCCAGGCACCTGGACCTGGCCGACGCACGGGAAATGCTGCTCGCCTTCGGCTTCCTGCAAAGCCTACGCGAAGGCAATGGACGAAGTGAACGAAATGAAAGGAAAATCCGAGCTCTCCGACCTGACAGGTACCCGCGGGATCTCGCCGAGCTCAGCGGCAACTGGCATGTTTTTGGGCACGTCCAGGTCCCGGCACACTGCAACGGGCCAGTTGAAACGTCTCGGACAGTTGGGTTGTTCGGGCCATGCGATCGCGGAGTTGTATCCGAACGAGCACGCATTGACACAACAATCCATCGCATTTTGCAGCTGGAAGGCAAATTGCGTTTCGAGACCCGCCGGGCACAGCAGTTGGATTTGTATCGTATGCGTTTGCTTGGGCAACTGCAGTTGGGACTCGGGGCCCGGACCCTTGGCAAGCCTGGCAAGCCTGGCAAGCGGCTAAAGCTTCCCACACAGTACGAACTTTTTGTGTTGGAGCGGCCAAGTGCCATGGAGCGCCATTTTGAGCACTTGGACACTGACATGTCTGCAATGCAGCACCTGAAAGACGAAGAGCTCTTTTGGCGATGGATGAGCAGCGTTTTTCGCGCTGACAGAAAGACATCAGTCGGCGTGAAACCTCCCGACGCATCAGATGTGTTCTCGTTCGAAACCTCTTTGCAGGCCTTGAAGGTCTGGCATTGGAACTCGTCAGCTACCGCAGCTCCCTCCGTCGACGTGCCCTGGAGTTGCAGCATGGGGTCAAGCCCAAAGGAGAAGCCAACGACCGACACAGATGCGGCAAAAGCGAGTGCTTCAACGACGGTTTTGTTTTCTTCTCGGTTCGGCGGCTATGGCGGCTATGGCGGTGTTGCCTCGGAGTTGCAGCAGCACGTGGCGGCGGTCCGCGCGCGCTACACGGCGTCGCTCAGCTCCCACCGCGACCAGGCGATGACCCGTCTACACGAAGCGCAAGAAACACTCCGTCAACGACTTCAAGCCTATGTCCTACGTCCTTCGAAAGAAAAGGAAGAAAGGCGTACGAGAGAGAGAGGAGAGAGAGAGAGAGAGAGAGAGAGAGAGAGAGAGAGAGAGAGAGAGAATCACAGCACGGAGTGCCAGGTAGAAACATGTGCTTGTTTTTTTTGCCGCCCGCCGCGCTCGCAAATGCAGGCAACCGGTGTCCAAATTTTGGCGCAGTTGATACGATTCGTAGTTCGTAGGTTATCATCAGCACACACGGCTCAGCAATCTGATGCACATCAGTCCGAAAGGGCCAATTGCTGCGTGCGAGGGCCATGGTCATTATGACATTGGTGACGCCCTCATGTTTGTCAGACGCAGGTCACAGTCTCTCAAAATGAAACTTTTATGACTGATATGGTCTGATGTCTCATGGTAGTTTGTTCAGCTGCAACTGGAAGCTTAGTCTTCGTTTGCAGGCCGGGCCTCTGGAGCCGTCGGACATTAGCGGCCCGCTGCTGTGCCGGGTGCGGGTGTGTGGCCACCCTCGGAATTCACAGTGTGCTGTGCCAGGAATGGCTCATCAATGACCAGTCGGAATTGTACTTGCCGGACATGTTGGATGCATTCGCCGAACGTGCCCACTCAAAGTATGCGAGGCATGCCTTAAATCCACCATTTAGTACCCTTGGATAGTTGAGATTTCACGACGCCGGGCATGCGTTGCATGAGGGCCCTTGATGTCAATGACCGTTTGGCTCAAGAACGATGCCCGTAGGAAAACCAGGGATAGCCCTCACTTACCGGACTTTCCCTGTTGAGTGGTTATCTGTTTTTGGGATTAGCCCTTGGTCCGGTAAGTTAGTGCACCTTGTGCATGAACCCGGCTCCGGCCTTCTCGGCCAGAGGGCAGCGAGGCGGGTGGACGCGTAGACGAAAGCTCTACTATGAGACTTTCGACGCTGGGCAAGGCAGCAATTTGCCATTGGGGTCAAGCGTGTTGCCTGGGAGGACGCTACAGGCCGCGCCTCAAAGCACGCCCCATCTGGCACTCAGCCCCGTCGACACTCCTCCTACCCAGCAACAGCAAGGAGGAGGTACGAAGTTTGGGGAAGGTGTCAGGCAGCAACCTGCAAGAGCTGGCCTTTTGGTCACTTGCTCAGCCTTGTATACCTGGTTGGAGTTAAAAGCTGCGCGGCCTGAAAAGACAAAGGGGTCGTCAGAGGGCAGTGGATGCGGCGCCCGCTGAGTCGGCCTCGGTGGAACTGCTTCGTATCGACGCTGCAAGATCCAACTCCCGGTGCTGTCCACTCTCTCGCGGTGGGATATGCGCAGTTGGCCGGCGCGAGGATGAGCGGCCTGCCGCTCAAGGACGCACGTGCAGGTGGTGATGGGGAGCGTGGGCTCCGCGACCTTGACCTTACTGAGCTGCAGCCCTGAGCGATGTCCTGGATCTTGGGCGCCTTGGTGGCGCCTTCGGCACAGGGGCCGCGACTCTTCAGCCCCTCCTGCTAAGGCCAAGAGACTAATCTTTGCGAAGAGGGAGAACCCGGTCAAAGCGCCTCCACAAAGTGTGATTGACCAGGCAGCGGATCGCGCTGCATCAAAGGCTATCCCACCTCCACCGTTGAGATCGCCACCTGCACCCCCAGCACCAGTGCCAGGGGCTGAAGCAGCCTGCGACGCCGCCAAAGTCCATCTACAAGCGGGCCCCACCCTCGCCACCGCCACAGGCAAGGTACAAGGCTGCCCCGCCTCAATTGCCGGTAAAGCATCTGCGGCAAACAGGGCCACCTCCGGCAACGATAGGAATCAGTTTGGTGCGCCTCAGCAAGAGGCAAGGGAGGCGCAACACGCTTGACATTTCTGCCAAGGAGTGGCTGCTTAAGGTGATTTCCAAGATCTACCGCAGCCACTACCCCATCGAGTTCCGCATTGTCAGCTATTGCCAGCCCCAAGACACTCGTGAGAACACACTCCGTGCCGCAGGTAACTTTTCCAACGTGCGCAACAACAGCATTGATCACCTCGACACTCGTCCGCAATCGCGCTACGCGACTCCTCCCTGTAGGACTCCCGTAGGAGAGGAACCTGATCCATCAAGGGATATGAGTGTTGCTGCTTTTGTGGCCGGATCGGCATTGCAACGTGCGCATCAAGCCTCGCTCATTGCTGATCACGCTGCCAATGTTGCTCTTCATGAGCATCGAGCCGCGGACGAGGCCCGACAAAGGCTAGGGGAGGTTGCAGCGGTGCTGACATACCAAGCCCAGCAAGCAGTTGAACGAGCTCGCGCGCAGACTGCGTTGGCTGAACAAGCTGCGCAGTTTGTTGTCGCAACGCCAACGTGTTGTTGGATCTGACCTCCACATTGGATCACAGGCTCCCCAAAGTCAAGGGCCTAGTGATGCCACACGTGAACAGCATTCCCAGAAGGATGCAGCTCAAGGCGCATCGGGTAGTGACCTTAAGGTAGCGCCACGTGCCCTTGTTGGTTTCCCAAAATCCTTCAGACCCACGCAGCCCGACATCAAGTCGGATGCCAACACCTGACTCAGAATCCGGTGAAGCAGCAGATGCAAGTGGCGGGGATGCTGCTAAGAGCGCATCAGGTCCTCTTATGAGGAAACCGTGGTCCGCATCAAGGACCTTAAGGATTTAGTGCTTCGCTCCCGCCAGAGAGCCGGTCAGGCGCGTGGATACGTGAATCAGGTCCTCATGGCCGTTGGACGTCTGCAAAAGACGACCGATGACGGGCTCTATTTGTGGGCTCAGGATTGCTTAACCTCATCCGAGGAACAGCTCAAAGCTGAGAAACGTTTCCCACGCACAAGCCGTGAGATGGCCGCCAAGCTGTTGCATTGAAGACGTGTCGCAAAGGCAAGCTTGGGTTGTTGTTCCAAAACATGGTAGAGCACGAACGTAGCACCGCCGGTACAATGCCCAACGGGCGGGTGATGCTGCGATCGATCTTCAAAGCACTTTCAACTGGAGCGCGACCGAATCGGCATCCTTGGAGAACGCAATCTTCTTTGGTTGAAACTTGCCGGTCAGTCAGTAGCAGACATGCAGGCCTTCCGGGAGAAGTACAACTATATTCTCCGCGCGATACCTCTTCATGAGCTCCCCAAGAACGGACCCTGTCAATCATCTCATCGACAAGTTTGAGAAGTGTCCCGTAATGAAGCGTCGCGTTGAAAAGGCCCGTCATGATATGCATGGCTTTGGGCGAAATCAGATCTGGTCATAGAGCTTGCCCAGCAACAGCGCAACCGTGACAAGCTTGATCAAGATGTTAAGCTCAAACCGACCAGCGCTTTGCCAGCAGAGGCCAAAAAGGAGAAGAAGAAGGCTAAGAAAGAGAAGAAAGGGCAAGGCAGGGGCGGCGCCCCAGCTGCTCCTGCGCTTAAGGGTAAGAGTCCTTTTAACCCTACGCCTCCCCCTCCTCCAAAGTCTCAGGGTGCAAACAAGGGAGACACTACCCCCTTCTAACCTCACGCCGAGATCGAAGGCAGTGTCCAAGACAGCAAAGATGTCAGCCGTTGAAAAGGCAAAAGTTCCGTGTGTGTTCTATGCCTATGATGCGTGTAGGGCCAAGTCATGCTGAGAACTCAGCAAGGCGAAGTCTCCGGCCGCTGTCGCCGCCGTAGTCCCGGTCGCCGCCAAGAACAATAGCATCAGCTGGCTACGGGACACCGCTGCAGGTCGCCACCTCATCGGTAGGCAGGCTTTGAACAGCACGATGATGCATTGCGTACGCAAGACCAACACACCAGAAGGAGCGCAACAAGGAGAAACGTCTCCCGCGTTTGAGGACTCTCTTGTGCTCCCATGAGCAGGTTTACGTTCTGAATAAATGCCCGCCCGCTCAACCCATTGACAAAACCGTCATCGATCGAGGTTATCTCTTCATCTGGGACCCCAGAGAGAACGCACCCACCTTATCTTGCGCATTGGAAAGTGCAAGCTTTGGGGCCCCTCGCCGTTCCAGGATGAACGCTTCCAGGGTTGTTGAGCACGTACCACAGTACGATGAGGTAGTCGAGCCACAGATCGTTGATCAAGCCGCGAACCTTCGGCCAATCAACGTTTTTTCCTGTGAAAGTTGAGGACGACGCGGTGTCCTATGAATCCTTCATCATCGATCCACGTCAGGATTCTCCATCACCTCCCAAAGTGCCAGAAGAAGAGAAGGAGCAGCTCAATGCGTGCAGGAAGTTCAGCTATATGCGCAACGGGAAGCCAGCTGGATCCACCGCCGGCACCACCACCTGCCAAAGCACCCCGCAGGCTTGTAGACTTTGCTTTGTGATGAACCCCGGCTTCGGGCCGAAGCCAGCTCATCTGAACACCAACGGACTCACTTCCCCAAGAACCCCTTCTGCAGGATCTGCAACATGTCTAAGAACAACGCAACGCGTGTCGCCCGGAAACCAGGGGGGCGGAGTGATGATCTTCTCGACGCACCCACCTTTATATACTAGCAGCTTGCTACTGATAGCGTGACCTTGGCGAAAGGCGATGAACATACTGGCGTCGGCATAGGCGGAATAAAATCCCACCATGTCATCAGGGATGTGTTTTCCGGCGCAAGGGTCGCATACCCGGTCTCTAAGCGAGACATTCCGTCGCATGCGAGAGGAGAAGGAGTGTTGCAGGAGCATACACCATTAATCGCGTTTGGCCTACTCCCTGCACACACATTCCTTCCTCTTCGCATGTCTCTCGATGTCTTTCGCCCAACCACCCACGTTCGATCCATCAAAGACGCAACGGGAGGCACTGTTCGAGGAGAAGATCGACAGCGTCCGCTGTTGTTTCGGACAACTTGTTTGGTATCGCCTAAAGTCCGCTGGAAAGAGGACCTTAGAACCTAACATGGCCCCAGGCTTGTTTTTAGGTTGGCGCATCGATCCAGAGATGCGATACCAAAGGGTGCTAAAAGTCATGGCCTACCAAAGTTTCAGGACCAAATGGAAATGTTCTGTCCACGACGTGCCCGAACCTGAGTTGTTTGTGGAGGAAGGCGACTGCGGCCGCTGCCGATCGAGCCCTGCAGGCAATGGCGAGGTTCCTGAGTATGCGTTCCTTTCATTCTTGAAGGCATTCCTGCCCCGTCAACACCCGCGAAGCGTGTACATCACCATTGAACGAATCATAAAGTTCAAGGAGACTCCCGGACTAGGTATCACATGCCGCAAAAGGTTCGCAGAGCTAGTAGAAGGTGAAAAGGAAGATGTGAAGCGCAAGTGAGGCGGCTACCAAGTCAAGTAAGGAAGCAGATGAGGCAGCTGCTGCACGCGCTGCAAAGGCGTCTTCCCTCCAACCCCCGGGAGACCCCGAGATCGTCCGCGCCTTGCTTGGAGAACCCGCCTCTTCTCGGCCCAGTGTTTCGCACGCCGACGCTCTCCCCGCATCAACCAAACAGGATGAATGGGTTTATAAGCCTAGTGATAACGTCCGTTTACGGCGCCGGGCGGCTCTGGCCGGCCGCTTGGAGACCACCATCCCGTCTCGTTAATCCGCGTGCGTCATCAGCCTAGGACAAAACTCTTCACTCCCAAGGACGTTGGTGAGTGTTTTGCGTCAGTGTGCAGAATCACGGTGTTGTG